GGCAATCTATATTCTTAACTATTCACTTTCTTACATTTTGCTTAAAACAATAATAAAAATAATAATAATAATCGTCACTCCATTTAGCTTTCCATGTGGTAAATGGTAGTGGCTAAGCTGGAGGAGGGGATAGCTGTCCCTAAAACAAAATGAAGAGAAAGTTCTACAGCTAGTCCCATTCCTTTCACCCCACTCTATATCAATGGGTATGTGACTTTCCCCAATGGAAGTATGTAGGTTCCCCAGTGATGATAAAGAGACATTTCCAAGGATGCCATTAATGTATTAGTCAAACAGCAAGTGACCTTTTCCTCGAGATTCACTGCAATTTTTTCAGCCTAAGACAGAAGATCTGTTCAGCGCAGCAACACTGACTACTTTATTAAGCTACCTCTGGCTTCTTGGGTAACTGTCCAAACCACATATTTGTGACCATGACAGTTATTCTTCCTCTCTCCTTGAAAAACAAGCATGGGCTCAGCCTTCACACACTCCCTCTGTGTATCAGGGAGGAGAATTATGTTTCTACTTGGCAACTGGGCCTTGCCCACATTACAGCTACTGTTGCCACAGCCCAGATGAGGCAGCCTGGCCAGAGAGCTCAGACAAAGGGACAGGCATGAGCAAGCTTCGCTCACATGGCCAAGCACATGGTCAGCCCAGAGTGCCAAAATCTACAGGGGAGCTGGGAAAACAGCTGAAGGAAGGGGAGCTATATCTGTCAACTTAAAGTCTAGCATATGTAGGCATTTATAAATAAATAGACTTCATGTTCCACTAACACATGATTTTTCATACGAATTAAAGAGGGAACTTTATAATACAGATTGTCTAAAATAATTGATAACCCTGAAACTCTTGAATTCAGCTGAACGCATTATGTGATCTTCTTGGCAGCAGATTCATTTTCCTATCCTGCAGTGAAGGCAATTTTTTGAATGCCTCTTTAATAAGGTGATTTACGGAGGCACAACCCCAATGTGTAGCCACATTTCAGGAATTAAACTCAGGCAGACAGAGCAATCGGAGGTCTGGTTCTAAAACAAGGAGGCCTGAGTTCCAAGTTTTGGTTTGTCACCAACCATTTGATCTTGGGCAAGTCATCTACATGATCTAGACTCCAATTTCTTTAGAAAAGTGAAAGGTTTGGACAAGATAACTTATGAAGTCCTTTTCATCTCTAAAATCGTACATGATGAGGCACCAGGAAGAAGTATTTGCACAAATATCATTGTTACATAGAAAACGTCTTTGCAAATCTGGGCCGGGAACCCATGGATTCTGAATTAGGACCTGTCTTCTGAATTAGCCTTCCATCCTCATTGAAGTAACTTGACAAAATATGCAGATTCTTGTTTACTTTGGGTTATATTCAAAAAGACTTAGAGATGCCAATTTTCAAATCGTTTTCACATATATCATCTTTTTGTTCCTATCAACTCTCAAGTTTGGCATTATTATTTTAAACATTTTTTTTTAAAGATTTTATTTTTTTTTCCTTTTTCTCCCCAAAGCTCCCCTGTACATAGTTGTATGTTCTTCGTTGTGGGTCCTTCTAGTTGTGGCATGTGGGCTGCTGCCTCAGCGTGGTTTGATGAGAGGTGCCATGTCCGCGCCCTGGATTCGAACCAACGAAACACTGGGCCGCCTGCAGAGGAGCGCGCGAATTTAACCACTCGGCCACGGGGCCAGCCCCTAAACATATTCTTTTTAATGTAGACATTCCTTTTTACTGATAATAAATTGAGGGTCAGAGGAGTTCACCAACTTTCTAACTGTCATACACTAGTGAATCTCTATGCCAAAGCATCTGCTCAAGTCCTAATGTTCTTTCTAATATGACAGTCCCTGATACGGGTGACAGATCCTTTCTTTAGATGGGGACGTGAGTCCCTTCACAGCTGTACTTGACACTATGTGATAGATTCATCCCAAACAGTTTCTTTTCTCGCTATCTATTTATGCTTACAGCTGTTAAGAACATAAAACAAAGGAAAAATTAAATAAAATTGTCCTCGAGTTGCTTATAATCTAATTGGGAAGGCAAGACCTACTGTTCTAACTGATCAGTGTTACTTTCTGAGTTCACTACATCCTACACTCTTCCTCATCATTCAAAAGGATTTCTCCAGCGCCCATTTATGTGTGATGATGGAAAGGAACCAGGTTAATTAGAATTCATTTAGAAATACTATCAGCAGGTACACATTAGCAACCCAAGAATAGAAGAGACAAGTTAGCCAAATATTTACCCTACTGTGCTGAGTGTCTGAACTCCATAAATATGGGCATGCTCCAGCACAGAAGTTGGCATTGTACCCTTTAGGTTCATGTATCCATTTCCACCCAAGATCCCTCTTGAAATCAATGTAAAGTGGACGTAGGCAGCAATTATCCTGCACATTTCTGTTAAAAGAAAGAACAATGGAGATCGTAAAGCTGATCTCCCCCCACCCCTCATCCCAAACCAGAAAAACAACTCATTCATTTATTCAACAAATATCTATGAGCAAATGTCACAGGCCAGGTTTTAATGGTTTTACTGTGATCTCAGTTGACTTTCATGATGGGATGTTATGGCGATTCGCTGGACTACCTTCCCTTATGGGTTCTATACCCTGACCCCCTTATCTGTGACCTCAAAAACCAAACCTTTTCCTTGAAAGACTAGATATAAGCGGAGAGGCAGCAGATGGAGACCAAGCCCTTTCTAACCAGCACTAAGCAGTTACGCCATCCAGCCTCCACTGCCCTTTCAAATACAAAATGGATGAAGTACAGTAGCAATTTTCAAAGAACCACCTGGGCATTTTCCTTCGAGAACAAATTCTTTATTTCATTTCACGTTCCTTGATATAGGAATGAACCACAGATCAAGAAACATGGAGTCTCGCTTAGTGCAACTGCTGGTTGCGGCACCCAAAACATGCCACTTTACTCATGAATTCGGACACTTTGGGCACTTTATCAGTGAGGACCCCTCACTGCCCCATAACCCTTGAAATGAAGAAACAGCCTTCCTCTTATCAGGCTTGACAGGAAGCCACAGAAGAACATTCACACTCTGCCTCCATGAACTCGCATGGGAATGGGAAATAAATTTGCGTTGCCCTCACTTCTCTCATTCTGCAGCTAAAGACATGACAAACAGCATTCTTCTCCAGTCTCTCTCATCTCTGTTACTGTGAAAGAGGTATGACCATGGGCACTCTGCAGCAAGGGTGAAGTCTCCATACGGATGGTGGGTCTTCCCAATTAGGAAGCTACCATCATGCACTTGAAATAAACATGTATCTGCTCTGGGGAACAGAGGGCTCATTTTCTTCTTCGGCCCCAGAGTGCTTCAGAGGGATTTTGGGGAAAAACTCAGGGGGCTAGTTTATCCATTCACACTTGGTTCATTGCTAAAATGCTGATGAATACAACACAGAAATAACTGTTTTAAGCCTCTGGGAAGAATGATGTTACCAGATACGATGGCTATACTGTACTATACCTGGCCTGCAGCAAGGAATGGAGTTCAAGTTAACTTGTACGGAAAGAGAGGGAAAAGGCAGCACAAGACGTAACACACACAATTGCTTAGTTTTATTTGTATCTCCTTTACCTAAAGCAATAGGCTGCGTCCAGAGCACGCTTCTTCCGCCGGTTGGACTGTTGTGACTCAAGTCTGTAGGAGGGCAACAACATTAGCAGGAGATGTGGGGTCTTCCCACTGTTTTTTTTCCTAGTGGACTTTATAGTTTTCTGATCACCACTGGTATATGTGGAGGTGCCATCAATACCTTGAAAAAATGCATTCGAGTAATAAACATTTAGCTTTACTTTCATCAAATATAATCAGCCATATTTTTTTTTCTTTGCATATTGTCACAAATAGCAGTGATGACCACAACAGCAGCGGCAGCTGGCTATAGTCATTCCCCGCGGATATAGATATGGCACAAGAGGACTGCTGCACGTGACAATGAACACTTCTAAATGAGACTCTTGTCAGAGGAGGAGGACAGTTCAGTGTCCAAGACAGGGCTTGCTAGTTACGAAAGTCACTACAGAAGAAGTCTTTGACCTATAGTCCAAGGGCGATCTCAGCAGTTTCTTTTAGTCAATGTTCAGTTTAGGCTGTGTTCAACCCCTCAACAACCAAACCCACAGCAATAGAAAATGCCTTGTCACCCAGTGGCTCCCTCTCTTCCTAGGACTACCAAACTCAAAAGACTTGCTTAATGGACATGAACTGAGACTTACACCAAATTGCAGTGAATGAGGTTCAACTGAAACAGAAGTCACCTTTACCTAATGCTATTTTGGGACGTTGTGAAGAAAGAGCTTTTTCATTTATTTTATGGCATCCTCAACACTTTCCTGATTCCATCTGAGATTTAGAAACTTGAGCTGCCCAAAGCATGCTCAAGAGACTGCCAGTTAAGCATTTAATCTCCGCACTCTAGAGAATCACGGCTATGCTAGAGTCTGAAATAAATCTCTAGACCTCTGGGAGTATTTTTCCATGAGCAAGAGCCACTGTAGCCTTCTGCAAGTGGACGGAGGTCCCGGGTGGTGTTCATTAGGGAAGGGACATTAGTTCCCAGGCCTGGTGGTGTGGCGCTGATGCTGCTGCCCCAGCACGTGTACTGACTCCCTCTCACTTCTCATCATCAATGACTTGATATCTAATACATGAAGTGACTCAAACCTTTGGCATCGCCTCATTCTCCCTGACTTTTGGCTAATTCACCATAAGGTGAGCAAAAATATGAGATCACTTGTTTTGTGTTTATAAACTGTTATAAAAGTCTGACAAGGAAGCCACTTGAAATATCAGGCACGAGCTACAAAAGGTGGGGTGTTCTGATACATGTAAGGTTGAAAAAGCCGTAGTGTGAGAGGACTCCTTTCTTCTGTGAAATACAGTTGTGGGTTCCTGACGTCGGGTTTGGGGCATTATCAATGGATTTCCTTGAATGCATGCTATCTTCTTCTTCTACAATATTAGCATGGATAGAAAGTTGGTTTGCTTAAATGAAGAAAAAAGGGCTTAACTGACTATTTAATAGTTTAGAGGGTTGATAAGTCAGTCAGTTAGTATTGACCGAATCATCACTGGGCATGAAGCAGTGTAAACTGGGAACCAATTCCTTTCTTTAATCCTTTCTGCCTTCATCTATCTTTCTCCAACCATATCGTTACCCAAACAAATGAAACCCCCCAGGCCTCACCAAACAATCCCATTTTCACATGCAAGCTGACTTCATCCCCATGAGATTATCAACACAGGCCCTTCCCTCCCCCACCTCATAGGACCAAGTTTCAGTTACCTGCGAATCTTGCTTCTAGTTCTTCGCTTTTGTTGGGGATGATGTAATTATTAGACGGTACAAAGGTGCAGCAAGGACAGTGTAAACTTATTTTAAATCCCAGGTTCCTGTCTGGAAAACATTAAGTCAAGGAGGTCATTTGTACGTGTGTCTACACCCTTAAATCTGCAAGCAACTTGCCATACTTTAGGGTCACTGAACATCTAGGGAGGAAAAGAGAGGGTGCTGGTAACCTTTATGGTGGAGCCATTCATGAACAGCGTCAGTGACGTCAAAGGAGAGCCATTCGCCTTCTGCTCTTGTTTTCACCACTTTGCTGTCGATGTAACGCTGGGTTGGAGATGTTAAATCTTTGGATTTGAGAATCTGGAGAAGAAAAGAGCAAGAGGAAAAACTCAGTTGGCATACTGACAGCATGACTAAACCAAAACCATTAACAGTATTCCAATTCATTATCTAAATTTAGCTCCACTCTAGTATATCCATGTATTGTCATCTCAACAGCATGGCCACATGCATAAAAACATAACACCAGGCCATTTGCCATGAAAAATAGACCTACTAAATCAGCTGTGTGTTATGATAAAGGTGACAGGAACCATAAAGCCAAGTGTCTAAAAGAAAGTGACAGTAATTATTTTACTTTGCTGACATAAGCTTTGCAAGATTTCAGCCATAAATTCTATGCTATTAAGTTAATGGTTTTGTTGTTCAGCCTCCCTATTTATTTAGTTTGGGGAGCTGGGATGTGGGGAGGGGCCGGAGGAGGGGTCCACTTCAGAGGACCCTTGCTCACCCTCTGAACGTCCTCACCTTGGTTCCTAAATCCACCGACATTAAAATAGGTGGCATGCCTCAGCTTTTGAGGTAAGTCTCTGGCTGGCACTTTTACTCCCAATGTGACTTTTTGTGATTTATAAAGATATTCCGTATCCTGCAGACTAAGAATGTATCGGGACGTAGTGAGACACACTATGTTGTACCTTCGTACAACAGGGTGTAGTGAGAGTCAGAAAGCAAATGAGCCTGAACAATGAGACTTTAGAAGCATGCATTCACCTCAAATACATAAAGAGCAACTGCATTATGTTCTTGAGTTTCTACAGGAAGTGAGCATTTCAGTGGTTTTTAAAAAATTCTGTCTGTCTTTAAATGATAGTGTTCTGTGAACCAGTCACATGATGATCCTAAGACTCCCAGAACTATAGTGAATTCCTCCCCAAGCCCTATATCCTGCCTTCCTCAGTACTCAGGGGCTGAAGCCCTATCGCTTTATGCTGCCCTTCCTGATACTGAGTCTAATTGTTCTGTGGTCATTTCCTATATATGAGTTTGATCTCTCCAGTAAGTTCATAAGCTTCGCCAGGGCAGGGATCATGTCTTCAATGTGATATCATTTCACAGCATAGTACTGGATGTAATCAATGACCATTAAATGACTATCTGTATATCTAGAAGATTTACTTACTCTCTTTAAACCTTGTAAATCAAAAATGCATAATCGTCCTGCTGATTTAAAAATGGACTTTCCTTCCAAGTGCGTATATGATTGGTTTCAAGTAATTTGGCCACAAATGCTTCCTAGAATATTTGGCATTAGAATAGACTTTTTTCTGAATTAAGTGTAGAAAAAGAAAAAGATTCATACCACTGGACTCGGGTGCCCTCACGAATTTTAGACAAACCCTACTCTACAGACTTCTCCTTAAAGTCCAACAAACCCCACTAAGTGAAGAGAATCTGGAGGTAACCGTGATTCCGTCACGGGCAAGAAAAGCTCTTTGTGAATTAAAGGAAGCAAACTAACACAACTTGAGGGCTGGGCACACATTATTCCATCTAATTTAATCCCCAAAACACTTCTATGAGGTCGATTAGGAAACTGAAACTCAGGGAGGTTAAGTAACTCACCCAATGCCTCACAGTGAACAAGCGTGGAGAGGATTTAAAGCAGTCCCAAGTCATTTCCCCACCTCAGTGCTGCAGCTTTGAAGGCCAACAGAGTTGTAGGAGTCAGGGTGGCACCATGATTCACCCTTCCCCCTTTCCAGATGACAAAAAACATTCAATGATAGAGGCAAAGATGTTTAATAAGATTATAATAAAGGTTGGTGCAAGATGAAAATATAACATGTGGCCTGTATGCACAGTTAATGCCGACATAAACCTATGACTTTAAAGATACAACTTAGCAGCAGCCAGTCCTCTGGAAATCAAACTTTGCCTTGAAAACACCCCCAGTTGGGTAAATAAGACGCCACTTAGCCAATTCAGAATAAATGGTATAATTAACCTAAGATAGAATAACAATGATAAAGCAATGGTTGAGAAGAAGTTTTCAGCATTTCCATCTGCCTCATTGACTATAGTAATAGCAATATAATAACTAGTAATATACCCAGAACTCATTTTTCTGTCTTTAAATTTCTTCCCCTAGTTGACCTCCTATAATGATGCACTATTTCATAAGGCTTTGTATATTTGCTTTGCTCTAGATTAGCACAGTGTATATCTTATTCATCTTTATATCCCTAACACTTAGACATACTATCTAGAACAAAACATTGCTTTCATTGTTGAACTAATTACATGCAAGATATATATATCATATACCAAATGTCTGTTATCTATCTACGAGATATATGTGTATATGTCTAAGACACCATATATATATGGTGTGTATATGGTACACACACACACACACCCCCCATATATATATACATTAAGTGAAGACAGAATTTTTTTAAAAAAAATCATGACCACATTGACCAAATGGGCAGAAAACAACACATACTGGCAAATCTACAGAAATTCTTCACCTCATAGAGAAGGAGTAATCTAGATTATCTTATTTAAAATCAGACCAAAGGGGAGAAAAGAGATTCTGAAACTTTTTTCTTTTTTAAATCTCCTTGGAAGTTATGTGCTTGCTCAGTCCTGGAACACTGGCAGGTTCTGACAATGGACCGCTTCAAATTCTCCCGCAAGTGAAAGGTTCTCTATATCTTTTTACCAGTTCAAGAACAGGTCAAGAAAGCCAGCTAGTTAGCTACATAATCCTGAAACGGAGACATGACTTTGGTCTTGTGGGTTTGTCGTCTCGAACTGTATGGCCAAGGAGTTCTTAAACCCACTTGCTGCAATTTAACTCCATTCTTTCTTATTCAGTCCTCAGTGGAAACAGGAAACAGCTGCCTTCCATCACTCATAGAACATCCCTCATATTCCTGGAGACTGTTATTAAGTCCCCTCAGCATGCTCGCGCTCGCTCTCTAAGCTAAATAAACCGAGTTCCTTGAGCCCATATTTAGAGGGGCAATTTCCCAAACCTTTAATCACTTGGGTCGCTAACAAGGGTGAATGATGCTCTGTAAAGGTACTCCTCCCACAGCTCGGTGATTTCGTTTCAGAACTGGCTAGAAAACCTTCTAATCACATCTCAAAGTCTTGAGTCTTAACTGGAAAGGTATCTTCTTTCCAAGAATAGGCACAACCTCCCTGTTCCCTGTTTATCTCCCATTTATCACCCACGCTAAATTCAACTGTGAAGGAAGAAAATCAACCTGTTGCAATTATCAATTAGTACTTTCTTCAATTTAAGAGTTTATACAAAAATGACCAGTTTGGTCAACTTTCCGTTCTATTCTAGCCTTTGCTGTCTGCCTTTCTCCAATCTCCCCACAACAAGTGTATTGAATGTTAATAGTCGTGGATATGCAGCTGTTGTTTTTTTTCTGGAGCCAAGGTCACTCCTAAATTCCTTTGTATATCTTATTGTGACAAAGATAATTTAGTTGAATAAGAGAAGCTCTCTTAACTGGCCTCCATTTAACTAGCCAGATTAACCAGTATTCTCCATTTGTTCTGTGATATATATTGGCAGATGCCCACAGTATGCTGGGGCTCATTGCTGGAAAGCTACTTTCTAGTGTGTTCCAAACACTTCTGGTTTTGCCAGTTGAGTTATACGCTTAGCAAGTATCACTTGTATATGGTTCTAAACCTGTTCATGGTAGTTGAACTCGATATTGTAATTATTCAAGTTAATTAGAAACTGATGAAATACAGGACCAAAAGTAAAGCGAACTGTTGCTTCTGTGAAAACCAGGTTGAATGCCTTGCAAAGTCTTCATAAAGACAAGTTGTTTTAAAAAAGCTTTTCTTTGGAAAACAGTTTAGTGGCTCCCCAAAAATGTAAACATAGAATTACCATATTATCTAGCAATTCCACTCCTAGGTATATACCCAGAAGAATTGAAAGCAGGGACTCAAACAGATACTTGCACACCAATGTCCAGAGCAGCACTATGCACAACAGCTGAAAGGTGAAAAGAACCCAAGTGTCCATCAACACATACATGGATAAACAAAATGTAGTGTACCCATACAACAGAGTATTACTCGGCTGTAAAAAAGAATGGAATTCTAACACATATTACAACATGGGTGAATCTTAAAAACATTATGCTAAGTGAAATAAGCCAGACACAAAAGGACAAACACTGTATGATTTCACTTATGTGAGGTACCTAGAATAGGCAAATTCATAGAGATAGAAAGTAGAATAGACATTACCAGAGACTGGGGGGAGGGGGAATGGGGAGGTATTGTTTCATGGGTACAGAATTTCTGTTTAGGATGATGAAAAAGTTCTGGAAATGGATTGTGGTGATGGTTGTACAACATTGTGTATGTACTTCATGCCACTGAATTGTGTACTTAAAAAATGGCTAAAAGGTAAATTTTACATCATGTATATTTTACCACAATGAATTTTTTTTTTATAATTTTAAATGTGGGAGAGACAGCTATGAAAGAAAGAAATAAGATAATAAAAAACTGGAAGGATCCTGTACTCTGGTTGCTCAGCAATTGTCCTGAAACTTCTCTTTCTTTTTCAAAGAAATTAAAAACTAGAAATCATAGATGATGCACTATGGATGTGGTTTATTGGCAATAAATGGAGCCACAGTCAAAGAAAAGTCCTTGGTCTTTTATTAAAAACTCAGCATGTAAATTACGTATTTGTGTGTGAGTGCATTATACATACATGTATACATATATATACGTTTTAAGTTAAAATATAAGGTTTGCATCTCTCTCTTGTGTTTGAATAATCCCCTGCTATAACTGACATTTTTTCTCTAAGTAACAGACCAATAATTGTTCCTGATCGAACAAGAAAAGACGGCTTCTAATATATTGAAAATGAGATTTAGCTGTCTCTCGCTTGGCTACCACCCACAGTGATGTTTGAATGCTATCTTCATTACATTATTGATATATACACATTATCCATAATATGTGCAAAATACCCATATATCACCTCTGGCAACGCTCTAAGCTCTTCACTGAATTACCAAACT